ATTGGCAATATAAAGATAAAAATGGTTATATTCATAGTTTTAAAACCCGATTAGGGGGTCATCTTAAATCTAGGCTTGGATTATAGGTCAGGTTGACCATTAATCTAAGTCAATGTGAAGATAAAAATTATTATTATTATAGTTTTAAAACTCAACTAGGGTTAGTAGCTTGGAGGATTAAAAACATGACCATTGCTTTCCAATTGGCTATTTTTGCATTAATTGCTACTTCATCAATCTTATTAATTAATGTACGTGTTGTTTTTCTTCTCTTGACGGTTGGTCAAGCAAAAAAAATGTTATATTTTCCGGTACATCATGATCTAAGACTTGATATAGGTTACACGTTGAGTTGATGATTGGCTTGGGTCAATATAAAAAGAAAAATAATGATTATCATAGTTTTAGAACTCAATCCAAAGTTAGGCTTGGGTTGACCATTCATCCAAACCAACATAAAGATAAAAATGATTATTATCATAGTTTTAAAACTCTATTCGAGGGTCAATTTAGAGTCAGACTTAGGTCATAAACTGGGTTGATCATTGACCCAAATTAATGTAAAGATAAAAACGGTTATTGTTATAGTTTTAAAAGCCAACTAAAAGGTCAACTTGAGGCAAAGCCTGGATCATGGGTAAGGATGGTCAACTTGGGTTGATCTAAAGCAGTGTAAAAATAAAAATGGTTATTATCATAGTTTTAAAATTCAATTTAAGGGTTGACCTAAGGTAAGAACTTGAGCTGTAATGTTTTGTGTTAAAAAGTAGGAAAAGGCAATAAAGCCCTTAGAGGCTTAAAGAGAAAGTATGATTAAATGAGGGGTATAGTAGTAATTGATTAAAGAGATGATAAATATAAATAGAAAGTAAAAAAAAAGTGATCTAAAAATTAAAAGTGCAAACCGTGAGAGAGAAGAGGGGGAAAGAAGAAGAAGAAGAGAAAAGAGGAAAATTAGAAGGGAAATAGAAAGGAAATGAAGAAAATAAGTTAAAAGAGTAAGATTTATGCTTTAATAGGTATAATATGCTTTCTTTAGCTTTAAATTTTGATTTTGATGAATGTTAGAGTTTTGAGAATTGTGTTTAGGGTTTATTGATGAATTAATTTGAATGTTATATAGCTGATTATTGTGGGTAATGGATTGTCAAGTTGGATATGAGAGATTGTACATAAAAATGATGATTTTGGGTAATAGTTTTGTTTGAATGGTGAATTTGTGTTAAAAATTAAGGGATAACAGTAAGTAATCTGTGAAAATTCTTGGTTTGAGGTTGAAGATGATAAAAATTCAATTTGGTCCCTCAATTTTGCAAAATTACAGTTTAGTCCCCAAAATTTAGAAAATTATAAATTTATCCTTGGAGCATAAGATTCTGAATAGAATAACATATGAATTATAGGCAGAATTACTGTATAGTTATGAAATTTTAAAACTTTCAATTTGGTCCTTCAATTTGACAAAAATTACCATTTGACCCTAAAAAATTGAAAAAATTTCCAGAATGGACCCTGGAGCATAATTAGAGGTTCTGGACTAAAATGAAGATGAATTAAAGATATAATTACACTATATTCATGAATTTATGATATGTTTAGTTTGGTTCTCCAATTTGACAAAAATTATAATTTGACCCTAAAAATATGATAAATTCCAGATTGGTCCCTAACTGTAAAATTAGTTTTTTTAGATTAGTTTGATGAATGAATGATTGTTATTTAGTGAATTATTATCAAGTCTTATTATTTGTTTTATTATAGATTAGATTTCAGGAAAACCATTAAATAGTTTTTTTAAAAATTAACTAGTTAGTTCAAAAGCATATAGGGTTACAGAATAGACCCTTAGTTAAGTGTATTAAATAGGTTAAATGTTCTTTCGAGTCATTCTTGAATATATCTTCTTTGTATTCAGATAATCTTGATATTTTACCGACAGGATGTTAGTAAGATTTTCTTCGGTGTTTGCTTTTGGCTTTTGTTTACTTTTGAGTCAGGTGAGTAGATAAATTTCCATATGCATGAGAAATATTATAAATATTTGATTTGTTAATTTGAATTGGATCATGCTTCTTGATCATAGATATGCTGATTATTATCCTTATTATGATAAACATGATCCATTGTTGAATCTGAATCCTTGATATGAACCAATATATATTTTGAATTGACTTATAAATTGATAGTTCTTCATTTAATTGATTTCATGAGTTGAGCATTGAGATATAACTATATCTATTTGATTATGATTATGAACCTATGGTATGCCAATCAGAATACCCATGCTAACAAGGTAATGTTAGTCTTTGTGCACATCATATCTGAACTCTAGTTGGTTGGAGGAGTTACCAACCTGTGTGGACTGATCATCCCATAGTATGGAGCCTCATGTTTATTGCATTTTGATTTTCTAGCTAGTTTTACCTTATGATATTCTTGTTATGGCCTATTTGAGGAATCTTATTATAAGAACCTAAAGCCAATTGTATATATATTTATCATTGTTATATTATTTCATGTGTGTATATTAAATATTATCTACTCACTGAGTTGTTGAACTCACACTCTCTTTATCTATCCTTTTCAGGCTTATAACTTGATAGTAGGTCACTTTTATTGGACCTTCTGAACCTGCTTTTTTGTTGAAATTTGTAACTTTATCTTATGTCTAGTTAGTGCTCCAAAACTTTAAATTTATATGAACTTTTGTATTAAGATAATTAAGTTATATTATGAAATTAATTTGTTGTTAATGCTGCGTTAAACTCTGATTGAGTTATTTAATAGATAAGTTTGTATGTAAGTTTGGGTTCGTATAGATATAAAATCTTGGAGGGGATACTTGCCTATGTGTTAGTCATAGATCCGGGAATCAGGTCATGACACGAGTCATAATTCAGGAAGCGGCCCAAATTAAAAAAATCAAAGCAACTTTATATTGATCGAAATAAAAAAAAAATCAATAGAATTTTTACCTATATTTTATCTCGGGTCAACTAGGTTATAGGTTGACTTCAGTTTTTAATGGTTCAGGTTGGATCAATATTTCATCTATTTTTTTCTTAAACTCAGAATGGTCTAAAACTTGGGTCTATCAAGTTCCATCTAGTTTCTAGCAAACACAAAATAATACAAATTGATCCAAAGCACACCATACACAAGACAAGACAATTATTTGTCCAGTTTAGTCATATCCAATCCAATCCAATCCAATCCAATCAATATTGTCTGGCATATCAAACACTACTTTAGATTACTGCTATGTTGCAAGTAAGAGCAAAATTTTCTGAAAATTAAAAAAAAAAAGTTAGAGAGGTAGAGAATTTTTTAGCATTGTCATTAAATATAGTATAGTTAGTTAAACTTAAAGAATCCTAACATGATTTCTTACCTAGTTTGGTTTTAAAATCATATGGGAGTTGTCTAGATCTAACCTAATCAATTTTATAGGTCTAAAGAAAAAAAATCAAAAGAAAAAAAAACAAATAAAATAAAATAACCAAAGTGTGTGTCACTCCCAGCAACAACTAGGCAACATGTCTAGCCTACTTGGTGTGTCATACCGAGCTAATGCCCCAAATAGTGGGCTTAAGCTTCCATGCTTGAGCTTAGGTATATGCCTAACATAAGCTCAGGCTACTATACCCAAACTTATACACTTTGATAGAAGTTTATTTTTAGACCTTTTTGAAGTTTTTTAAGGTTTATTTTGGTTTATTAGATCTACATCCATTAGTAGTCCCTAAAATATTTATACTATAAATCCATAAAGACTTGTAAGAATACCTTATTACTATGATAAGTTTATTATATGTTATTCATATGAAAAGAGAGGTGAAACCCTAGGTAATATATTTGAGAACCTATATGTAGGAGTATGCACCATGGTTAAAAGAAGAATTTTGAAGTATGTAGAGTGGGACTTATAAAGGGTAAGCTAAATGTATTAAATTTTTAAATGGGCAAGAGGAGGATCCACATCGATGCTTATACTTAGAAAATTTTTGAAGTGGTTAAAGGGAAGGGTCTATGTCAACGCCTATATTTAGAAAAACTTTTAAGAGGTAGAGGGAAAGAACTTCTGAAAAGTGGTGTTATTGTACTAGAGGGATTAAGTTCATCACTTTAAAAGTGATTGCATTAGAGTATGAGAGGTATATAATCCCCTAAGATGGCATGGGGTATGTAAGCCTCCCAATAAAGAGTGGTGCTAGTTTAATATTGTATTTGAGAGACGGGAGATCCAAAATCAATCCCTAGTGAAGTTGTGAGAGGCCTTTTTGGCATCACTCGAGGAATGTGATTGTCTAAGACTACACTAGAAAATGAGGGATCAAAGATCAACCCCTAGCCAATTTTGTAGACATTACTTGAAGAATGTGCTAGTCCGAGACTACATTGGAGAATAAAAGATCCGAGATTAACCTTTAATGAATTAGTGAAAGACATTTAGGTATCACCTAGAGAATTTTCCATTACAGTAGGGAGATTTCCTACCCACCCCTTAAAGATTGTGAGGATATTATACTAGGAAGATCAAGTCATTCACCTCTAATGAGAGTGGCCGAAGGCCTCTATATTAAAGATCTATAGATAAAAATATATTTTAAGGATATATTATTTTTATTTAAAAATTAAACTTATATTTCTATTAAAGATTATAAATTTTTAGGTGATCTGAGTGATAGATATGATAAGGTTCTTAGGAGGAACATGTATTTGAGGTGGCAATAAGGTATTTTCTTTAACTACCTTGATAATTTTGAATATGTGATCTTATTTTATTAAAAAGAGCTATAAATCCTCAGGATACACTACATTCTCATGGATTGATCCCTCATAGTTCTTCATTGAGCTTTCATTTCTTCTAGGAGAACAATTTTGCTTGGAAAGTCCTTTATGCTGGTTGTCCTTGTTTTTATAAGGAGGCCTATATTGTAACAAATCAACATTTTCCATCTGTATATGATTTGTCATAACTTGTTTTATTTTGAGCAAGCTTTTATTTAATAAGGTATAAAGTTTTATTTAGATGACATGTTCCTTTACCCCTCTCATCAAGGCCTCTATAGCTATTAACTTAATTAATTTTTCCATCTTATATCATTTTCATTAAACCTTTTTAAATATGTTTGAGTAGATTCACCCTCTTGTTGGGTAACGACAAATAGCTTTGTAAAGCTTTTTTTGGCAGGTATGTTGGTATTGAAATATGTCACTAGCTTGGGGTAGAGGTTATGAAACCCTTCGGTAGAGCTTAACTCTAAATTGTTTTACCAAGTATGCGCAGACCCCCAAAAGGTTGTAGGGAAGATTTTACATATTGAGTCATTGTCGTAGATGGCCAACTCTAAGCTACTATGCATAATATCTACATGTTTCTTCGAGTCGATTGGGCCATCATGGTTGTTCAGACTCATTTTTGTGAAAATATAGTCTTAAGGAGTTGAGTGTTCAATACTTGTTGAATAAGAAAGAACCCCTGCACTGATGGGGATTGTAATCTTTCTCCCAAGTATGCTTATGTACAAACCTTTTTTTAGTCGTTTGTCTGTTAGGCTCTTGAAAACCCAAGGAGTTCGGTATAGAATGATGGTTATGATAACTGATGTCCATCTCACAGTAATTAGAGGAGGATGTTCATATTATTAGCTCTGTACATAAGTATCGTAATGGTATGTGTGACTCCATGAGAAAATCTCAAGATTATCATTTTGTTTAATCTCCTTTGATTATCATAATTATTTATCAAGTGTTGGGGTGCATGCCTAGCATCACCTGGAAAACATGTCCAACACAGTCATGTCACTACCAATACCATTTGAGCAACACGCCTAACATGGCTAGGCATATCAGGCCTAACATACTAG